GTAGTAGTAGTAGTAGTAGTAGCCAGGCTAAAAAGTAGTCAATCTCTCAAGCTGATGCAATACCGTTTGTCATTTGTTTTTGAATAAATTTTTGAGAAACTTTGTGTGTAATTTAACAATACCAGATTCCCAACCCATTTATGATTGAAATTTTCACCTCGGTGTTTGTATTCCATAAAAATACACTGTATTTTAGTATGTAAAGTGTTAGGATGTGCACATGAAAACAATCTAAAGCATCAACATTAAACTGAGGACATTAATATAGCCTAAAGAAAACAAATCGTTCAACTTCATTCAGCGATAAATGCCAATTTCGGTCTGTAGGATCTAAATTGAAATAAATATTTTGAGTCGAATCATTATCGAGTGCAAACTCGTCACCTATTGATTAACAGGGCCGTAGCCTGAGCAAAATGCCAGGGGGAGGCAGTAAGCGGACACGAGGGGGGAGGGGTGGGAGGGGGTGTCCCCCTCCCACGGTGTGGAAATTTTTTAAAAACTCTATGTATAAAACTGCATTTTGGTGCATTTTAACAGTTATCTATTGCCCAATCAGAAGTCAGAAATTGTGGGTTCATTTTGCCATTAGTACAGTCATTTTTAAACACAACATGGGGGATAGCTCCCTAAGGGAGGATGAGCTTTTTGGCATGAACTGAGTTGGCTAAAAACAGTACACATTTGTAAACAGATTGTTGAATGATTGTCTTGTGGCCATGAGTGCATTTTCTCACAGAATTGATACCAACTTTGCAATTATTTTTTTTTACCTTTGCGATTATTTATTTTTTTTGCACTTAAAATCCCAGGGGGGGCAGCTGCCCCCCCCCCCCCTGCCCCCCCGGAGGCTACGGCCCTGATTAAAAGCTACTGAAAATTGGAAGAGGACGACACAGGGGAAATATGTGAAAACCAACCAACAGGCACATTTCTAGGAAATTGACCCTCCCTCGGCCAATCACAGTCAATATTGACTTTGTCTCTTAGGCAACGCGTTGCCAACGTATGTTTGTGTCATAGAATAATAGTGGAGTTCTTGTCTGTCGATATTTAGTTTAAAGACCAATGTAAAGAGATGCGGTTGACGCACGTTCTAGTGAAAATGTCACAGAGTAGTCTCACTATTTTCTTGGTTCTGGGAATTTTTGTATGTACTCCGGATATCTTCACAAATTGAAGACGACCACGTGTGCCAGGTGTTTGGAAACGAAGTATTAATTGTGTCAGGTAGGACGTTAGTCAACTTAAAATATATGGAAAATAAATTAAGTCCATGATGAAATTATCGAATACTTTTGAATTTTCTGAAGGAAAATTTGTTAGTGGCAAGCACTCGATTACTTAAAAAGGTCCCGCTGATACAGGGCTGGTAGAAATATGCCTCCCATTGACCCCTTAAATCTTATGATTATCATGATTTTGACAGAAATTTAACAAAGATCCCCATAATTCAGTGAAGTTCTTATTATTTTGATTTTTATTTTTTTCAGTGAGACCATGCTTCAATATAATTGCATTCATGTCGAAAACGTCCTTTTCTGAGAGAAGTTTAGAATTTGAACGGCTAAAATATGGATTGATCTCTTTAAACAACAGAATGAGATTAAGGACTTAGTAGAGAAGGGTCACACTAGGCTGCCTCTGCCTGTAGATGTCCTTTTTTCGACACAACCTAAATGATTTTATCACAGGTATCATTCCATTACATTTAATTGATGACAGTCATTTAGAGATTTGTGCGAAATTCTATACTTTCCATACACTTTGTACAGTATAAATTTTAACTGTCTCTTTGTCGTATATCTGGATATCAAAATGGGGTTACACGTGAATACCTACACATAGTGAACAATTAGATCGAGATACCTTATGAACTACATCACAATTTATTCAAACTAATGTATACAGACTGAAAGTGTTCCAAGTCAATACTTGATGCAATGGTTTCAAATGTGAAAGGCAAACCACACTTGGAGTAGAATGATGAGCCTAGCAGAACATTTAAGTGAAAGAAAATGTAACAAATATCTGTCTGTCAATGTTCCTCGGATACAAGAATCACTGAGAATAAAATCGGAGTCCAAGTGACTCCAAACTTGGAGTCCAGCAGTGGTGCCTAAAATAACTCCTAAGTGGAGTCAAGTTGACTCCGATGGAGTAACGCCATCCCAGACCCGACAGGAGTGTCACAATCGGTGGAAGGGGTCAGCCAGACACTGGCCCCCGGTAATTTGACCCTGATTTTAGAGTCAGATTGACTCCATGAGAGCCAGGGGGTGATTGATTCTGATAAGAGAGTCTAAAGACTCTGGTAGTGGGGTAATTTGACCCTCAAATAGGAGTCAAATTAACTCCATGAGGGTCAGGGGGTGCTGCACTCTGACTAGAGAGTCTAATGACTCCAATTTTATTCTCAGTGATTATCTGGTTAGAGTATTGTATTGTGTACAGGACCACTGCCACAAACATACATAATTAAGAATTAGGTTAAAATGGGGATTAAGATAAAAATGATTCAGTGTACATTCTATTCAAAGGAGGTTGGAACGATGAAAATTATTTTTCATTGTGAGGTAAGCCATTTTCAGTGCTATTTCTTGTAGACAAATTAAGAAACAATAAAAACTGAAAACAGGACCATTAGCACTTTTTGAGATGTAGCAAAATACACGCATACCTGATAATGTCAGTTATATTACCATGTTGATAAATTAAAGCATATCCCATCTAAAGATAAACTTTGGCCGTTTCACGTAGAGTAAAATCCAGTAAAATATAATATCACCCAGATGGCAATATATAACTCCACTCTCTTTTTTTTGTCTCCTCATAACGCTGCTGTTGTACGTTCTTATATATCATGATATTTCACTTAAACCCTTTAATAGAGCACCACTACCTCTATCCGGCTCCCGTGTATCAGAGAGTGTTTCGGACACAAAGAGAATTGTCAATCGGCCCGTGTGTACGGTAACGACAGACAGTGCAGGATTCAACTGAAAACTGTTCCCAGTAAGTATGAACGCGCTGACACAATTAACCGTGTGATGAAATTAAGGAACGTTTTATTAATCTTTTAATCTATTAGTTTGTTGATTGATTGACTAAATGAATAATTTGCAAACCCGAACCACTGCTGATATGTCCCAGAAGTAAATGCGTCTTGCAGTAAACTTTATGGCACTATTCATAATAGGGGAGGACTAACTAGTCCGAGGGTCATGTATGACGACCCACTACAAAGCTTGCCGTCTAATCGCTAATAGACACTGGATAGATATCCCGTGGGGAAGTATTTATGTGGATCGGCCATATTTGGCCCTCGGACTAGTTAGTCCCCTACTCTGAATGGGACCTATATCTAGTAACCATTATTTCATGTCGTGTCTGAGCTACTATTACTTACTATAATATGAAAGTGCAACGCTCATTGTGTGTCTTTAATTTCAAGTTACGTGTGACAGAGTAAAGGACAACATCCAGCAGTGGACGTGGGGCAGTTGGCAGTCGGCCGGTAGCGGACAAGTGCTGGTCAGTTTAAGGGACCATTCAGAATGACAAGAGCCGAGTGCTAGTAAGGCCGCGACCTAAATATTGCGGACCTACATGAAAGGAAGACCGCTTTGTCTTGTAATGGTCTCTCCACCTCTCACACGCCTCCCCACGCGTCGTCACTGCAGGGGCACAGTAATTAATACAACCTGTCAAGGGCCAACGCGTGGGAGGCGTGTGAGAGGCGGAGAGACCATTACATGATAAAGCGGTCTTCCTTTCATGTAGGTCTGCCATTTTCAGGTGGCGGCCTTACTAGCACTGGGCTCTTCTCCATCTGAATGGTCCCTAACAGTCTACTAGTAGCCTAGCAAATATTTTGCGTTCTTGAGATATCAAAAATAAATACATTAAAGGGATAATAACTCTTTGTATAAGATATATATCTCACAATAAAAACATTGTGAACAACTCATAGAAATATAATATATTCTGTTTTACCACAAAAATTGGCAGTTATAGATATTATTCTGATATCTGAGCTTGTCTTTAGACAACGTGACCTCCACTGATGGCTATACTCTGTTATAATCTCTTAAGAGATTATAACAAAACAAAAAAACTTTTTAGAAAAAAAACAGGGACTAACTTTAAATGTAAAAATGGATTCATTAACCATCGGTAAGTATGGGAAAATTGTTGTTTACTCCAGGAAAATTCATTTTTTGGCCAAAACGAAGAGTTATTATCCCTTTAATGGTAGGCCTAATTGAAATGGAACAGAGTCCATCAATTGAATAATTAGAAAAAATACAATAATTTTGGTGGCAATGTATTTTACTAGATAAAAGGGCAAGGAAATGTTCTAGAAGTTTTTTTTTAATATACAGTCAGACAGCACTTTTGGAATCAATTCATATGACTTTGATTGCATTCACAACGAGTTGAGCCAGGCTTTACAAATCCTGGGGACTAAATATGGCGGACGTACATGAAAGAAAAACCGCCTAATCTTTTAATAGTCTCTCCGCCTCTCACACGCCTCCCCATGTGTCGTCCCAATGGAGCCGAGATTTAATAACTGTCCCCCCGCAGGGAGGACAGAGGCGGAGAGACTATTAAAAGATTAGGCGGTTTTTCTTTCATGTACGACCGCCATATTTAGTCCCCAGGATTTGTAAAGCCTGGCTCAACTCGTTGTGAATGCGATCTTTTACATACATCACAATATCTATTGGTATAGGGATTTCATGAAATTACACATTGAAAATAAGTAATGTGGAAAACAAACCAAATAAACTGGTTGATTTATTACATAACTAAAAACCATACAAAACTCCGAGTTTTAGAGGTCAGTAGAAACTCGATATATATTAGCGGCAAGTATCCGCCTTTTCCAGGATATTGTTTTCAGTGTCCCCTGAAACCCAGGACACTCCTCTATTAATACAACAGTGTACCTTCAACTTATAAATACTATCCATTCATTACAGAGTATCAACTACATGAAGAAGAACGCATCCACCGCGCTGCGAGTCCGCTGGTCTGGAAGCATAAGGGGTGGTAACAGTCCCAACTACGGGTCTCGCTTTTACTTCACGTTCAATGGGGCACCTTGCACTTGGCCTGCGGGTATCGAGGCCGTAGATTGGACTGGGGCTAACAGAGATTATTATCTACATACTGAATGTGAGTGTTATGGCTGACGTCAAACAGATTTTCAAGACTATAGGCAAAGGATGTTTTGTCCCAAATATGAAGTTTTCTTGGGTATGATATGATATGATATGATATGATATGGTATGATATGTTATATTTATTGAATGAACTTTTAAAATTAGAGGCATATTGCAATGACGCACTGTTTACCTTTTCTTTTACATTTTTTCAAGCGATATAATCTCAGTTATTTCCCTTTCCTTTGCAGTTTTTTTTTTCATAATTTTCAGACTCAAGTTTATAGACCAAACAAAGATGCAGTTTTTAAGAGGACTTAAACTTTTGCCCAGTATACTTTATACTAAGAATTCATGATTTACTAGCAGGTTAAAAGCTATACATTGTAGTATGTGTATCCTGTATCCCATATTTTTTGCAGTCGAAGGACTTTGTAACAATATTCCTGCAGGACCTATTCAGATTGGTTTCAACGTGGGAACACTGCCGGGTATAACACGGCAGCCGTACCTAGGGTGGCCAACTTCTGGAAACCCCAAAATAACAGCCGAGGAAGTCGATCTGGGGGAGAACAAAGGTAGTATAACATGTTTTGACGTAGCATGGATTGGCCTGGCATGACAAAGCATGATATTGAATGGCATGACATGGAATGGCATGGCATGAAATTCAAAATCATAGCACGGCATGGCATGGCATGGCATGACATGGCATGACATGCATATAGGTAGTATAGCAAAATATGGCATAATATGGTACTGCATAGCATGGCATAATCACAAAGGAAGTTTGTTCGAAAGTTGGTAATGTGCTTCAGTTCAAAATAAACTTCAGTAACTATTATAAAATGTACCTCGAGCAAAAATACTCTTAAATTTGACAAATTTTGGTCTATGTTTCTTTTGCGACAAGGAACCTTCATTGCAATAGTAATAACTTGCATTACAGGAATCAAGAATAGCTAGGGTTGTTTACTGGTACCTGCAGGTACTCGATACTGCATGCGTGCATCAGTCTGTGTGTGTGATGCGTGTGTGTGTGTGTGTGTGTGTGTGCACCCAATTTCTCACACAAATATCATTTCTTTTAGGAATGTGTCCCCACCACACTGTGTTTAATGTAAAACAACATACCTTTGCCACGGCGGACACAGCTAGTGGGATATACAGCGCTTCGGTATGTGAAACTTTTGTACATGTATAGTATACGTGTATAGAACTATACATAGGGAGGTCAGGTCACACCGCTCACGCAGTCGAAAACGGGAAGAAATCTAACCTCGCTGTTTGTTTTCTATCATAACTTCCAAGATTTAGGTCCTATGATAAATATGAAAATATATTTAAAAAGTGCATTGAATGGCCTTTCTAACAATATGTGTAACAATGTATCATGTCTCCGTTGTAAACCTCCAGCCACGAAAATGCTGCGAGAAATCGCCGGTGATTTCACTTCCTCGTTTGGTTCCCACTATTTACGCATTTTGCTCAACCTGCGCGTTTCGCGCCATTTTTCCAAAAGCTCCGTACGGCGTCCCGGATGTTATTTCCACGTATTTGACCACATATTCATGCAGAGAATAAACTAACCGTTCGACTGAGGGGTTACAGAAGGTGATTTAACCGAAAACAGCAACCACATCTAGCTTGTAAATTTTTTAATCGTGTTTTAGAGCTAGAGTAACGAAGTTCTAAAAATTCTGTAACCCCTACCTAGTTGATTTAACTAATTCTTGGTTCAATTTAGTTAATTATTTATCATTTTTTGGTAAGACAGAGCCGTAACAACCATAAGAAAATCAGTGACTTTGATCTTAGCGCAAACAAAATGGCGGACGCACCAAGCTGTTCTGCTGCTGAAAAAGCAACTGCACTTTCAGCACCCAAAGAGGATCAAGATATCAGAATATCTAATCAGAAAATATTTGAATTGTTTGCGAAACCCAAAGATATTGATAAAACGTCTGCAATTCAAGAATATAGAGTTTATTTTATTTATCAAACAAAGAATGAAATTACGTACGATATTGATGGGGCTAATGCTTTTTTTCACCTTATAACTCGTCAGTGAACGTAAGAGGGGAATCTTAATTAAAATCATGAAGATATGCAAAAACTCTAGAATGTTTAATGGCAATCAAACAAAAGTGAACAAACGAACGATTTATTTATTTTTTCTTAACAAAAAAAAAAAAAAAAAAAGGAAAATTCCCCTAAAACTGCCATTACGTAATGGCAGTCTCTCCAGAAAATCTCTCTGGTTTTTCTATTACCTAGCTGCTATGATGTCCAATATCAATTTAATTTTTTGGAAAAACGATAACTCACCAAAATCGTATATTATTTATTTTCATTGTGCATTCAGTTTAAAAATTCAGTTTAAAAATTCATGATGACATGTAATAAATAATTCAAACTGTTACCATAGCAACAGCTATCATAATGACGATTTCCATAGCAACAGATACATTAGAAGCCATGATTTTTGTTTTTAGTGATGGCACATTATTGAGAATCATTTTCATCCAAAAGTAGCCTTTAGGCAGTGAAGCTGAAGCCTTGGGTTGAAAAATAAAAAAAAATAGTATCAACCGCTATTGATATTTAGCAATGGTTGCCAAGGAAATAATGGATAAATTACATAAATTTTTGCATGTCAGATTCTTCTTGGCATAGTGTAACTTTCCAGAAAATTTCAAATGGATGTTTTACTCCATTCAAAAGTTATGCCAATTTTGTTTAATTGATTGGGCAATGCATTAGGTGACACTTTTGGCTTCCACTGTTTGCATACAAGACTTTTTCAAAATTTTGTGGCCGACTAGCATTCTTGTAAATTTAATAACTTTTGATTGGCTTGCTCGATTTTCAAAAATTAAAATGTTTTGGAAAGCTCATGAGTTGCTCTATCAGATGGGATCACTTTGGCTGATATTTACCCTGTAAGTTACTATCAAAGTTGACCTGACATCCCTACTATACAGTGTAACCCATTTATTTTGAAATTGATCTAACATTCCACGCATAGCTTCTATCTATGAACCTTCATGATCAGGGTAAAAAAGATCTTGTTTTGTCATTAGCGTATCAAACGTTTTCTGAAAATATTTCGTTGAAAAACAGATGGATCTTTTCTTACAAAATTTTCACTTTGTGGGTTAAGGAAATATCAGATTTAAATTTTGCATTTTTAGGTTGTACATAGTTCATGTTTAACAATTGATATAGTACCTATCATACACGTAACTATGGTTTGCAACACATAATTAATATACAAAGCAATGTACATTCAAACATGTATTTCTATCTCCCAGGTATTTAGTTACACCAAACTGGCTCCCGATACATCTCTCCGAGTACGTTGGTTTGGGGCCTTAGGTGCAAAATCCCAAAGTCCAGCACCCGGATGTCTGCGATTTTATTTTACCTTTAATGGAGAAGAGTGTAAAGCTCCCACTCCGATAGATGGAGCCATTGCATGGCTCACAAATCCCATCATCCGAACGCAGACGACTCATTCAAGTAGGCGACGTCTTAAAGTCCTTCTTATATGCTCTACTTCTTTCCAGTCTATATATATTCTATTACGTTAAACATACATTTTACTTGTTTGTAATTCTAGAATCATAGATGCAGGACGTCAAAATGACGGCATCTCTGCATGATTGAAAAAATGTGGACAATTGGACGTAAAAGCATCATTTAGAAAGATTAAAAGAGACAAAAAATAGTCAAAAAAGTTTAGTTAGAAACAAGTTTTATCAGTTCACATCCTTCCACCGTAGTAGAACTAATATGTTTATCGTTCTGTTATTTATTTATTTTTTAAGTTGAAGGGATTTGCCAAAATCTAGGCCAAGGAGATTATGCAGTTGCTTTGAATGTTGGACAATGTCTATTTGGCAGCCTCAACCAAATGGATCCGGACCCTCGCGTCAATGACGTCTCCAGGATTATTGTGGAGGAAGTTAGACTTGGGAAGTCACAGTTTGCAGGTAGGGCTAGTTTTATTTTGGATATACACGTACTGGGGTAGTTCTTGGGGATTCCAGCACTTTGCCCTTTAACACCATGATGCAGTTGCATATCAGTGGCGGATTTGGAGGGGTCAGGGGGTCCTGAAATAATGAAAAATGCAGGCCCCGAACCCCACGCCAAGGGGGCCGAGGGTCAGTATCGTATGTCATTCCTTAAAAAAGAAGCAGGCCCCCTTCAAATAATCCTAGATCCGCCCCTGGTTATTTACGCTTTTTAAACGATTTATAACGAGGATAAAACAGCTAGAATTCAGTATCAGTCATTTGTTCTGTTATTCTTCTATTTATTTTTTCACTTTTGAACAAATGTTGAAAATATAGGTGCTCAAAATCTAATTTCCTAAAAATAAGAGGAGATCTCGCACGTAAACTAAATGGAATATTAACAGCTTCCTCTGACATTTAGTACTCCTGCTCAGATATTGGATGTTTACTAGAAGGGACTTCAGCCAAGTGAATGAATCATAGTTCGAAACCGTACCAAATGGCACCGTTCGCCCTCTAAAACGCCAACATTTTTCGATGGGCCCCGAACCCCACCTCGGAGGGGAGGTGGGGGGTGGGATCGGCTTCGCATTGCGGCCTGTCATATTTTAAAACCGGACTCCCCTTCAAATAATCCTAGATCCGCCCCCGTATAAGAACCGAAACGATCTATAAACGATCTATAAAACGATCTATAAATCGTCGTTGGTATAAGTCTGTCAGATTTTAGTCACACCCGGCCCTCACATGGAAGTACTGAGGCTGGTGCATTTCACTCGTACTGGTGAAAAATGATAAATTTAAAAAGAGCTCTTGAAAGATTTCGGAAATAGGTATATGTATCGTAATTTTCTCAGTGTATTTTGGTAGGTTTTATTATGTGCTATTAAGGAGTTGCACATTGGCATTGTAATTGCCCAACATAGGTCTTATACTTTTTCTTTTTACAGTCCTATCAGTAACGTAATAACAATGAGTTTCCTGCACATGCAGGAAGCATTCCCTACTTGAATTGTGCGTCCTTAATCAACTGTTCGAAGTTGAAGCTGACAAGTTTACTGTAGAGCATGGGTATAAAGTTATAAATTCTGGGAAGATACATGTACATTCTATACAAGCGTCCATGTATCAAACACATTTTAATATAGGATGCAAAACCAATTAATTAGACGAGTGAGAACACATTTTCATTCTATCTTTAGATCTACCTAAAGCTGCTCAACAGGTGTTTAATCTTCGTCACTGGAACTGGTACAACCTAAACTTCACAGGTCTGGGAGAAATCAAGGTATGTCAATATATCAATTATATGATTAACTTTCTTTCTTTCTATTTCTCTGCATTCCTTTCTATCCCCCTCTTTTTCATTCCTGCTAATACAGTTATAAATTCTGTCGAAAATTGGTATTTGTTTTATTCATGTTCCATTTATATTAAAAAAGATCAAAAAACCCCCATACGCTCATTCAAATCCTTACATAGGCATACCATTTCATGTGTTGGATAAAAAAGTTTTAATACTGATGCGTCTATGAGGATCTACTTTAAAGATGTTATATGTAATATTTAAAGTACACCTTCATAGATGCATCAGTATTGTATCTTATTTTAAGATCTATACGGTGATTTGACATTAATCTTCAATGTGTTGGATAAAAAACTATTATAATCATTATTAATATACTAGTATGTGTAATAAAACTTTAACGTGTTTATATCAATTTCAGAGCATGATCTACCCCAAGATGTCCTTCGACAGTGGCCTGAGGGTCAGTATGACAGCCACAGTGATGACCAGTCAGTACGTATAGTATGACTCTCTTACATATTAGAGACCGTTCACAATGAATTATATCGACCTAGGTTATCTCCCAAAGTCTGTTATAAGAAGCAAAACGGTGTTCATTATGCTCCATAAAAACTTTAAAGTATGTCCAAATTTTGTACCGATTACCATTGTTAATATCAAGGTAAAATGATCGTGTACACATCATATATGGTTATATGCACATCGTTTAGTTCTTTAGGCAGCGATTATAATTTTAATCTCCCAAAAAGATACATACGTTATTGCCACCAGTCATTCAAAGCAAGTCCCTGTTTTTTTTTTCTAAAAAGATTTTTTGTAATACTCTCTTATGTATAGCCATCTATGGAGGTCACGTGGTCCGACGACAAGCATATCACCTCTTTTTTTAGGAGAAGGGGTTTTTGTACGATGTGGCAGTTCCGGTTTGGCGGGAACGGTTGCCCTGTATCGACACACGTGGTGAAGGGCCTTCGCTACACGGATTCGGTCCAAACAACAACACAGCATCTGTTCCCCATAACAGGTATAAAGTACCCTCAAAAGCAGTTCATCTCGATCGATTCCTGTCATTATTGTCATTGTTATTCTTATGTCTTTTAATTTTATTATTTCCGCAATCCTTTATATACAGGGTGGTCTATAAAAACGACCTATTTTACTGTCCATCTCAGTTCAAAATAGGTCGTTTTTCATGGACCATCTTGTAAAGTTACTAACACACTGGTAAGTGTGTACATGTACAATAATAAAAATAAGTGCTTGGATATGCTCAATACATGTATGCTGATATAAAAGTATGAGTCGCATGAAAGAACCTTATGATAAAATGACCGTGGTTAAAGGTTAGTGGTGATCAAATTGATTTCGATTTAATTTGAAAAAAAAATCTTAATAACGTTGTCTTACTTGGCATTATGCCAGCATACACTCAACTGCCACCTATCGTCATTTTGAAACAACACATGACGTAATTCTTATTATTCCAGTGAGCGGTATTTGTACGGGTCTTCCCGCAGGGAACCTGGTACTCAGCATACATACCTCTTCATGCTGGGGGTCTCCGGTGGATGCCGTCACTGGCTGGCAGACAAGTTTCTTCGTTTCTGCTGAAGAGGTCGTCCTGCCTTAAGGTACTTTGTTGTGCGAGGATTTTTACCCTCCCCAATTAAAATAATGCAGATATAAGTTTTATCATATTATGAGGTGATGCCGTCACATAAAGCTACACCAGGTTAAACTAATGGATAATTGTGAAGCTAATTTGAAGCTACTTATAAAAAGATCAAAATTTCAAAAAGATTATCGTTAGATACGAAAAGGCGATAAGTTGATTAAGATAATCATCAGATGATGGCAAAAACTTGATTTATGTAGATTATCAGTAGATCCTCAAAGTTCATATTTGAAATACTTACGAAAAGAAGATAGGTTTATGAAGTTTATAGAGACATACGGAAATATTTAAAAATTCAATGTTATTGTTAGATATGAAATATAACCCTGAAATTATAGTGCTTACGAAAAAGATTTGATTCATTTATCCAACCTAATTAGCATGTTATACGGATTTTCTTTTTTATTTTTTGTGTTAAATGGTTCTTATAACTGTATGTCACCATAGCGTGTGGTAAATAGTATAGAAATAAAGACAACTCAATACTTGAGGCTATAATGGGCCCTTTGCAACTAGATCACTAGATGTTGCATTCTTTTGTTTACTGGAGAGCTTACCCGTCTCCAGTAAACAAAAGAATGCTGGAGAGCATTTAAACTCTTCGGTTAACAAAAACAGTCAACATCTAGTTATGTATTTGCAAAAGGCCCATCCGTATCTGATTGTCATTAAGTGGGTTTTATTGCACATTAAGAAAATTGTCACACTTTATGTGTATTAACCAACACCTTGATTGCCTTTTCTAGAGTGATACAGACGTCCCGCTTTAATGGGTCATATCGAAACTGTGTGGAAACCCGCAATATCAAAATTGTTTGTTAACTGTTTTGGTTAACTGGTAACGTTTTCCGAGTTTATAACTTATTTTAATATTTGCATCTCTGCAGTACATGTCGTCTCCATGGACATTTTTATTGTAGCAATATAGGCATTATATTTGTTATATGTCACAATTGAGCGGATGCTGTTTTGGTTGCTCTTTCACTTATTGCAAATGAAATGGTACTACTACTACTACTACTACTTCTACTACAGTATGGTCTTAGTTGAATGGCCATATAAACGTGATTTACATGACGTGAATAACAGTGATTATTTTTGTCGTAAAATGTTGTAAAATGTCGTAAGCATGTGCAAAGAAAAAGATAAGTTGAACCACTTATTGCCAAAAGTGAAAGAACATGCATTCACATGACCTAAGGCAATCTCAGCTTTTTTACTTTCCAAAACCAAGACCTGCTAAGCCTGCAAAGATTTTAATTCAATTGGAGTTGATAAATTTTAATACAGTCGTATTTAATTACTTAAAAGAGGTTGATTGATTTAATATTTTAATCATTAGTGAAAAATGTCATAATAAGTTTTATCTATTTTTAACACTCATCTATAGTGCATGTAAAATCTAAATTTAAGTTTCAATATTAATAGTACTACTACTGCTACTACTAATAAATTTATAATTATTGTTATTATTAATTGTAAGAGACGAAAACAAGGTTCACAGAGATTGCCTAATAACGAAATATGGAATACATGTAGCTGATTGACAAATAAGAATGAAATATTCTTATGATGAACTAAAAGATGATGTAAAGAAAATCTATAAACAATATGGATAGATAAAGGATGGATTACATCGTGTGTGAGTATGTACAGAAAGTCTGTGAATAAATGTTTGAATTGATATCCTACATCGTTGTCGTTGTTACTACTGTACGTATGTCACTATTCCATTCCTGTTTTCAATTTGATCATGATATTGTCAAAGGGATAAACCCAAATGAACTTTTTCGTTTCCTGGATAAGATAATTTGAATTGATTTTAAATAAATCAGTAAATGTTCTGATACAGCTAGGAACCGATCATTATTTAAGCCTGATCCCAGCCCCAGTCCCCCTCCCCAAAAATCGAGACCCCCTAATGGCATTCAATTTTTGGGGAGCCTCCTTTGAATATTCACCCCCCTCCTGTAATAAAAAACGAACTCTGGAATTTTTTTCACTATAGCATAAAAATTATGTCACAAACACTCCACTCGTGGGGGAAAATTTACGTACAAATTGAATGATTTTACAAAAAAATCGACTGTAAACATTGTTGAATTTACTCTTAAATGTAGATACTCTATGTTAAGGCAGGGTTGAAGTGTAGTTAAAAATAATACAGAATTTATTCTATTCATTCTTATGAAAGAAAACTACTGGTAGAAACATAAAAAAAGATGTAATGAAATTTAATCAGACAATACTGGTTGATATTTTTACACACACTTACTCTAGTGAGATTTGATTATATAAATCATAACAGATGTACGAAAACAGACCAATGCCAAATATCCCAAACCATATATGTAAAGATGGATGGCTAAAATGCAACAAGAGATTGTGAACAGTGGAAAACAATTTCTTCTTTAAGACAGTCCACTCGGAGGTTGAGGTACAATTGCTGAATTTCTTCCCGAATGTGGTACGAATGTTGAAAATTCTTCATTCCGGCTGGTTCCGATAGAATCCTTTTAATTCTGAATAAGTGTGACGGGGCCTTTCAGGGGCGGATCCAGAGTTATTTTCTGAGTTTCCCAAATTATCCTTGTTGATTCATCCTCCCTTTTTGGCCGTCTTCCGACAGAAAAAAATAGATACCCGTCAATGTAAAATTAAAAATCTGACCGTCTTCTGGAAGACCGAGAAGACGCCCTAAATCCGCCCCTGCCTTTAGCAAGAGCCCTTGCAGAATTGGAGTGTCTTACAAAGTCCGGTGTGCCTATTGGAATGCTCCCCTACGGTGTATAACAGCTAGCTGCATGCTCCGTCGACCTGTCTGCCTGTTTTTCATGTTTTTCATGCCTTTTTTTACATTGGGCAGTGCGTTTTTCTATCTCTCTGGTTCTGTGATCCTTATAAATTCGGGTAATTGGCCATGTTAAGTACAGCCGTTCAATATAGTATTAGCCAGGCCAATAAGCAGTCAATCTCTCAATCTGATGCAAAACAGAAAATTATACAGCCCTTAATGTAAACGAGGGCTATGGTCTCCCACCACGAGGTCTAGTTTTACTTTCATGGATATGGCTTTGGTATGCATATACAGATAGGTCGCGGGAGCCAACAATCTCAAAGGAGCTGGGGGTCTGCAAATGTGGTCTCCTTTACTCCCTTAATTGATCTAGCTTGAGGAATAACACACAACCCAAATCAAGCCTTGGTTCAGAGTGGAACTTTTCCATCCAAAACGGCAATTATTTCAATTACCACTGCTTAGCTGCCTGACAGGGTTTGGTTTCCTGCATGATACAGGTTTATGGTGAAGGGGGTGAGAAATGGGGACAATGGTTTTTCTATGGATTTTTTTCAATATAATTTACTTCTCTGCTTTACATGGACTTTGAATTTCTAAGGTCTTATTTATTTGCCAGTTTACTTTTTCATTTCAAAAGTTCAACTCTTTCTTTTTTCACCAATCTGCACATCATTCCCATTAATTCCATTTTTTAAAACAAATTAATGTTTTCAAGCTTTCATGCTCCCAGTAATGATTGTTGAATTGTAGATGTGAACAGACACTCCATCATCAGAACAGCCACAGTAAGTGATGGCTGAGGAAAATACGATAATTGGTATCATTGGTGATAGCTGTGAGAGACGATGACAGTCCTGCTATCTAAATCGACCGCGAAGGCTTGGGGACGTTAGGGGCTTTCCATAGCTCAGTGGTTCGAGACATACAGCTATAAGCCCCATGAAACCCTTCTGATTACTACTTTTTTTGTTAACTACGTTAATGTTTTTGATCTGAAAACAGCCTTATCGATTTCATTTTTACTTCA